TCGTTTTGGACGTGTAAGTTTTACTTTCACTTTCACTGATACTCTATTAAAAAGAAGCAAAAAATCTCTTCCCGCTCGGGAATTGAGCTCGGGTCTCCTGCTTTGGACAGCGAAGCGCTTTACCGCGACTCTGTAGACACCGCTCCTGAACCACCAAAAGTCAAAAAGTCTTTACAGTACAGCCGTCTCAAAACGCGGAGTGTAACACGGTCAGTCCTTTTTACTTATTCTTAAAAGGGTTACGTAGCGACTTGTACAGCGCACTTGGATATTTTAACAGAGGACTTTGCTGGTAGATTTAAGTTCCTCTCCTTGACGGACATTTTGTCACCTAGTTTTAGAGTTAGAGCGTTACGCCACTTATAACACAATATGTCGTATGCATGTAGCATATAAAGCTGAAGATAGAGGTTTATATGAGAGTAACAAACACAGAAAAGAAGTGGGAGAGTTGGTGAGGAGGCGTGCCCATGTGACCTTATACAGTTGCGAGCGCCGTAAAATTCTTAATAAAGATAGTAAAAAATTACACAATTTATATAGCGACCAACCCCGATTTAAGTACACAGGCTCTGAGCGCGTTACAATACAACAATACAACGCACAACACTAACATAAAACCTTATTTTCTGGCCAAAAGAAAATCTCTTCAAATTTTCATCTTATTATATTAAAAGCAGAAATGACTTCCGCTGACTTTGAATGAATCAAAGGATTTGATCTCTTTTAAAGTACTTGGCAAAGCATTCCAGACTAAGAGATATGCAAGATAGATGTTTCATAGGAAAAAAGGAGCAAACCACCCTGGAGCATCCGCCAACCACCCACATTTCCTGGTTCAAGAAGCCCGGTCTCATTGGCACTTGAAATTAAAATACTTGAATGTGAGAAATGTGAAATTGAGTAGATTAAAAACAACTTGAAAAGCTGTAAGGTTATTGCAGAGGTGGGGCCTCAGAGTTTAACGTCCTTCTCCGATTCCACTGAGACAAAGAATAAGTATACTCGGGTAAGGTCCCTTTTCTAAGGACACAAGACCAGGCGCGTCGTTCCCTACGACTTTGTGCAACAGCTGTCTACTAACATCACGTGATCTTGTCATAATGCAAAAGCAACAACAACTACAACAAAAAAAAGAAATTCACTTACAAAGTGCATTTCCATGAACAAAATGCTCGACGCACTTCATAAATAACACAAAAAAGAAGAAGTAAAAACAAGAGCATCATACGGTTCGGATAATTATCCTTTCTCTCAACCCCCGCCCCCCTAACTCACTCTTTCCGCCTGTCCTTCTCTCTCTCTCTCTCTCTCTCTCTCTCTCTCTCTCTCTCTCTCTCTCTCTCTCTCTCTCTCTCTCTCTCTCTCTCTCTTCTCACTCACTCTCTACAGTAGGCCTACATACTTGAATAAAGACAGTTCC